GACTCTCGATAATAATAATAATAATAATAATAATAATAATAATAATAATAATAATAATAATAAATATTTTATTTTGGAAGGTATGGAATAAAGAAAAATGTGATATAATAAAAAAATTAAATTAAATTTTTTGTTTTTCATCTTATATTTTAGATTCATTTTTATCTTTTATTTATTAAAATAATTATTTTATTTTTTTATCTTTTATATTTCAATCAAGTTAATTTTTTTTAAAAATAATTATTTTTAATTCTGGAACATGATTCAAAATACGAAACTTTAATATTAAATTTATCCAAATAAAAACTATAAAATATAATAGATATTCAAATTCAAAAGATTCAGTACATTTATTATTCATAACAAGTTTTGATCAGACATTATTGAAATAAATCTTTAAATTGTGATTGCATACAATATTTTTCTGTATTTACAATTTAATTTTAGTACCTCCTAATTTAAAGTTTACATCCATAAATATTTTTTTTTACAAATTTGCAATAACTAAGCAACAGTGATCAGCTTTGTAAACACAGACCATACAAAGGTGAACAAAAGACAGTTCAAGTCACAACTCACAACAATAAACCCAAAGAGCACCATTTCGGATTGCACAATACAGTCGCAAACATTTTCAAAAAAAAAAAAATGGATGCAAAAACAGAGTCTCCGGCGCCGGAAACATCGCAGCCGGCGATTCACCCGGCAGTGGCACCACTCTCCTTTCTTCTGGGCACATGGAGAGGCCAAGGAGAAGGAGGCTTCCCCACCATACATTCCTTCTCCTATGGCGAAGAGCTTCACTTCTCCCATTCTCCCAACAAGGTTTTCCTCTCTCTTTCTGCACAAACACTACATGGGTCTCCCAAAGTTCTCTTTTTTATTACTGGGTTTTGTTTTGTGTTTTTGAGTTTAATGTTGATACAAAATTAGAGTACACCCTCGATCAATTAGACAGCTTTCCTAAATAGGACTTATGATTATTATAAAATTTTATAGTTTTCAATTGTATGGCAAGGCGATGAACAGTTGGTTGTTGAGGACTTCAATTGTATAAAATCATTCTTTCTAAGCTTTTATGATGATATGTGCTGATGAATTCAATTTAACCCATAATGCCTTCTTTTTGCGTGCGGTTGCTGTTGAAAAATCATGGTTCAGAAGAGAGAATTGAGAGTAAAGAGAAATTGCATCAAATAGAATGAGTAGAAGGTTATTACATCAAGGGCATGCTTGAATGAACTTCTCTAGAAGCACTTATGGAAGGAAAAAAATAAGTAAGAAAAATGAAATAAATTTCTCTATGAGTTAAAACTAGCTTATATATAAATTAAAAATAAGTTGGAGAAAGTAGAGGAAAGAGCTTCTACAAATTAATTTATGTATAAGTTAATTTTACTTATTGAGAAATTTATTTCACTTTTTCTTCCTATTTTTTTTTTCTCCTAGAATTGTTTCTGGAGAAGTTTATTCAAATAGATCCAAGTTGATGTCAAGCCATTTATAGACACTAACCAAGTAGTGACTAATTATCATTATCTAATCTCCAACTACTATATCTCTAATAGTGTACACTGATTTTGTTTATTTGAAATGGGTGTGTAGCCCGTGATAGGGTACAGTCAGAAGACATGGAAACTCATCTCTGGAGAGCCTATGCACGCTGAGAGTGGATACTGGCGTCCTAAACCTGATGGCACCATTGAAGTTGTGATTGCTCAAAGCACCGGTCTTGTGGAAGTTCAGGTATTTTTCAATTTGTTTTTGGTTTTGTGGTCCGATACATTGTTTGACCAATGGCTTTTTACTTGTGCTGTGTCTCTATATTCTGTATGCTATAGGAATGGTGGGTTTGGAAGATCCACGACCTCATAGTTAGCATACCTCCTCAGTTTAAATTTGGAGACAGCGTAATTTGAATAAAAAGAGTTTATGACCTGATCTAATTTTGATCAATATTTCATTTTTAGATCAGGACTAAATCCTTGAATATGTTCCTGACTTGTCAAATTATAACAAGCACGTCTTTATTGTTTTCTACTTGCTACAAATGCTTCAATTGCAAAGAAGTGCATCCCTTGCTACATTTTAAGTCCCGATTTCCTAACATTTTGTGCAATCAACTGTTATCAATTGTTTGTAATAATAATTATGCAATCTATCCTTCTATATTTGTTAGGCCCATTTCCCAATCTGATCCACCAGACCCATTAAGTGTGCAGGAGGAAGTTATTACATATGAAAGGCCCCAAAGGATCTGTAACAAACCACCTTACCTTGATGACTACGTGACTGAATGAATTAGTGGCTGCATATTATTCAAGGGGTAATTCGGTTATGGTATGCGGGACAGGGTTAACAAACTTTTATTCATTTTTCTCATGTCGCGTTGTATGTAAGGTGCATATATAGCACCATAAATTGAGCACAGAAGGAACGAGAATATTTACGTAGGTGTCATATCTTTCTTTCTGCTGATATCCCCTTTTCTGATATTCTTCTCTTTCTTTCTGAAAATCCCCTTTCATTGGTGCTTTTGTTGAGAGATACTCCCCATCATGGCAAACCCCTCTAACGCCATTTCCAAACTTGACAAAAAAATTGAACAAATCCTCCTAGCCCAGGCTAATTTTTCCAACACTCTGCATGACATTGCTTCCTGTACGTCTCTTTTGGAGTCCAAAAATTCTTCCCCCCCACCATCTGCAAACCACATCTCTCCTCGACCCATGAAATTTGACTTACCTTCCTTCAACGGGGATGATGCTCTGGGCTGGATCTTCAAAATTACCCAATTCTTCGAGTTTCATCAGACCCCACCGGAGCAACGCACTCAAATCTCCTCCTTTTATCTTGAAGGACCAGCATTGGCGTGGTACCAGTGGATGCACAACAATGGTCTCCTCACCTCTTGGGAAGCATTCCTTCATGCCTTGGAGCTCCGTTTTTCCCCCTCCAAGTTCGAAGACCCCATTACTACACTCTGTAAGTTGTCTCAGACCTAATTACTTCAGGACTACATCATTGAGTTCGAATCCATTGCCAATCGCATCTTTGGCTACCCAGCTAGTTTCTACCTTAGTTGCTTTATTGCTTGGTTGAAATTGCATCTTCGTCGGGAGGTTACAGCTCTACAACCCACCGACATGCCTCAGGCGGTGTCTTTTTCCAATCTTCACGACGATAAATCCCGTATTGTCACACCTCCAATTTCCAGATTCTCCAAACCATCTCTACCACTTAGCCCATCCACCCCACCCAAACTGCTCCCTCCTTTCTACCCCTTCCACCAAAACACCCATCAAGCGACTCACTGAGGCAGAAATGTAGGATCGTAGGGACAAGAACCTTTGTTACAATTGCGATGAAAGGTACACCAGGGGCCACCGTTGCAAATCACAATTTCTCTTACTCGTTGTCTCCGATGCCGATGACGTCTCTGATAGTCCTCCAGAGCTGGACCCCAACCCCCCGATGACCCTTCACTTGAAGCAAGTTTGATCAGTCTCCACTCTCTTTCGAGTCAATGGACTCCACAGACTTTTTGGATCACCGGGTCAATTAAAGGGTATGAGGTCCATATTATGGTGGATAGTGGGGCAACACACAATTTCATTTAATCCAAAGTGGCCCACTTCCTTAATCTTCCCCTCGAGCCCACTTCGAGTCCACTAAAGGTCATGGTAGGTAATGGGGACTTCCTATTGTGTACAACTTATTGCCTTCAAGCCCGAATTACTCTGGCATCTCTGACATTTCCCATTGATCTATACCCCTTAGACCTCTCTGGTACAAATATTGTGTTGGGAGTGCAATGGCTCACACAAATAAGCCCATTTATTGTGGACTACAATGGGCCCTTTATGCGGTTCATGTGGGAAGGCAAAATGGTCGAACTAAAGGGAGAGCATAGCTCCAACCCCATCCCAATCACAGCCCACCAGTTACGACGCTTACATCATACAAACCGTGTTGAAGCTCTTTTCCAACTAATACTAGAGCCTTCTTCACCAACACTACCCTTACCCCCTCAACCTCAACAGCCACAACCATCTTCCACCATTCCCTCCATTGCTCCCCAATTCCAATCACTACTCACAAAATACTCCACCTTATTCACCACCCCTACATCCCTTCCACCCTTGCGAAGCACAGACCATTCCATTCCCCTACTGCCCAATACCCCTCCCATTTTGGTTCGACCATACCGCTATCCTCATTTCCAAAAACAGGAAATCGAGACTTAGGTTGCAAAGATGCTTGAATCTGGGTTTATCACTCCCAGTACTAGTCCCTTCTCATCTTCGGTGCTCTTAGTCAAAATGAAGGACGACACATGGAGGTTTTGCATGGACTAGCGCGCTCTAAACGTTGCCACTGTCAAGGACAAATTCCCCATTCCAACCGTTGATGAATTTTTGGACGAACTCGGTCATGCTTCATGGTTTTCCAAGCTTGATCTCTTCTCGGGATTTCATCAGATATTGATGGTGCCTTCGGATTCGAGGAAAACAACGTTCAGAACCCATAACGGCCATTTCGAGTTCAAGGTCATGCCCTTTGGGCTGTGTAATGCTCGATCCACATTCCAAGCCACCATGAACGACCTGTTCCGGCCATATTTATGACGTTTCATCATCATTTTTTTCGATGATATACTCGTTTATAGTCCCACACTAGAGTCTCATATCAACCACTTGGAAACAGCTTTCCAACTTTTGCTTGCAAACTATTTTCACCTCAACGGCTCCAAATGTTCAATTGGCCAACAATCCATTCATTATTTGGGACAGATCGTATCTCGAGAAGGAGTGCAACCTAACCCTTCTAAAATTCAAGCAGTGCTCGAATGGCCAACTCCAACCTCACCAAATCCCTTCGAGGCTTCGTGGGGCTTATAGGTTTTTACAGACGCTTCGTGGCAGGTTATGCGTCTATCGCTTCTGCTTTAACTGATTTATTAAAGAAAGATAATTTTCATTGGTCTGATTTTGCTTCTGTTGCATTTAATTCTCTCAAAACTGCTTTAACCAAGGCACCAGTACTGGCTTTGCCTCGTTTTGATTGTGTATTCACGGTGCATATAGATGCATCAGCCACGGGCATAGGAGCCGTTCTTTCACAAAACGGTCACCCCATTGCTTTTTTTAGTAAACAATTATGTCCCAAATTACAACACTCCTATGCTTATATTAGAGAATTATGCGCCATTACAAGTGTTGTGCAAAAGTGGAGGCAGTACCTGTTGGGTATCCACTTTATCATACTTACAGACCAATAGTCCATAAGGGAGTTACTATTGCAAACTGTTGTCATCCCTGCTCAACAGCCTTATCTGATCATGCTTTTAGGCTTCGATTTTGAAATTCATTACAGGCCAGGCAGAACTAACATTGTTGTTGATGCTCTTTCCAGGGTCGAATCAACACTAGCGACCCCTATAGACACTACACTATCACATTCGGCTCTCTTCATCTTGTCCATTCCCCAAATGGATTTCATCGAGGATCTAAAGTCCTCCCTTGCTTCCAACAGTGAATTCCAGGACTTCAAGAGCCAGTTTGCTAGCACCCCCTCCTCATTTCTGGACTATTCACTTTATTAGGACCTACTTCTCTTCAAAGGCAAGATTTGGCTTCCCCGTTCCTGTTCCATGATCCCTCTGTTTTTGCAGGAATTTCACTCCACCCCGCTAGCTGGCCACCCCGGTGTGACTCGCACTTTGAGCAAGTTGCAGGCCAGTTTCTATTGGGATAACATGCGGAAGGATGTCCACACTTTTGTCTCTCAATGCACTACATGTCAGCAAACAAAGACACCAACTCGACGCCCTCCAGGGCTACTGCAACCTATCCCACCACCAGAGTGCTACTAGGAAGATCTGTCATTGGATTTTATACTAGGACTTCCCCGTATCAGGGGCATACTACTATACTCGTGGTAGTGGATAGATTCTCCAAAGGGGCCCATTTTGGTATGCTGCCACGTTCTTTCTCTGCTCTGAAAGTTGCTGAACTCTTTATTAACATGGTGTGAAAACTTCACGGTTTTCCTCGCAACTTAATTTTGGATCAGGACCCTATATTTTTGAGTCAATTCTAGTGCGAATTATTTCGTTTGAGCGGCACTAAGCTGCGTATGTCTACCGACTATCATCCTCAAACGGATGGCCAAATAGAGGTAGCTAACAAAATCTTGCAACAATACTTGAGGAGCTTTGTGCATCATCGCCCTTCCTTGTGGAGCAAGCTGTTACCATGGGCTGAATGGTGTTTCAACACTACTGTAAATGGCTCTACGGGCCTCACGCCATTTGAAGCAATGTTTGGTCGCCAACCTCCTAACATCCCATAGAATTTGATAGGGGATTCACCTAATGCTGCAGCCCATTCAGAGGTTACTACCTGGGATGTGATTCTGCGTAAGTTGCGCTCTAATCTCAACAAGGCACAGGACGCCATGAAGAGATGGGCAGATACTCGTCGCCGCGATCTTCATTTTGATATTGGTGACCTGGTTTATGTTCGCCTCCGCCCTTGTCGCCAAGCCTCAGTCACTGGTCCCTACCTTGGTAAGTTGCAGAAGAGGTACTTTGGTCCTTTCAAAGTCTTGGAGAAGGTTGGCAATGTTGCCTACAAGCTTGACCTGTCACCAACTGCACGCATTCATAATGTCTTTCACATCAGTCTACTTCGCCCTCATTTGGGCCCTGCACCATCACCTCACCCCCTGAGCTTACCTCCAGACATAGAGGACAACCAACCCATACTGGAACCTGCAGCCATTTTGAACTGGAAGCTATCAAATGATCCTGATGACCCTCAGCAACTTGTATTGATTCAGTGACAGGGGTTTCCCTTAGAAGAGACCAGTTGGGAGCCATGGTCTCAAATTAAAGCTCAATTCCACCTTGAGGACAAGGTGACTCTTGAACCAGGGGGAGATGTTAGGCCCATTTCCCAATCTGATCAACCAGACCTATTAAGTGTGCAGGAGGAAGTTATTACATATGAAAGGCCCCAAAGGATCCGTAACAAACCACCTTACCTTGATGACTACGTGACTGAATGAATTAGTGGCTGCATATCATTCAAGGGGTAATTCGGTTATTGTATGCGGGACAGGGTTAACAAACTTTTATTCCTTTTTCTTTTGTCGCGTTGTATTTAAGGTGCATATATAGCACCATGAATTGAGCACGGAAGGAACGAGAATATTTACGTAGCTGTCATATCTTTCTTTTTGCTAATATCCCCTTTTATGATATTCTTCTCTTTCTTTCTGAAAATCCCCTTTCAATATTCCTTGATGTAAAAGTTACGTAATGCGTTATTTATGTATTGTTCATATCATCATGTTAGGATTTTCTTCCAAATTTTAGCTGGATTTATAGTTTTCTTCCATTATTGAATTGTTTTGACTCACAAATCTTGCGTATGTAATTGTTTCTGGGTCCATGAGGCAAGTTTTTTCCTGTTTTTCATTTTTTGATTCTGTTCTGCTGCCTTTTTCTGATATTAACGTGCCACTTGATATTACCCTTCCAGAAAGGGACATTCAGTGCTGAAGAAAAAGTGATACAGCTTCAGAGTGAAATGGTGGGGAATGCTTCTAAGGTAATCTAAATTGGTCCTCCCAAATGCAACAATACTATTGTCTCATGCTTATAAATGCATTGTTCACATACATTACATTCTAATAGTGATTGAGTGGCTGCCATTAGGTTACATTTCAAAAACAACCATCTTAGTAAGGTGTTTTCTGATATTCAGAATGTGTCAAAAAAAATTGTATAGTGGATAGTTTTAGAATTTCTTTTAACACCATCTGGTGAAGATTATGATTTCCGCAAACAGAAGCCTATCAGAACTTTAGAGAAAGAGAACGATGGGAAGGGAGAGTAGGGACTTTTGAACATTTGCTAGATGAAGTCATTCAATGTGCTTTTCAGTTGTATTTTAACTAAGCTGATGAATCATTGGACCCACAATCATTGATTTCTTATAATAATCTACAGAGAAGTAATACCTCATTCTTATCATTGCCTTTTGAATTCTCTCACTAAATCATATGTTTTATTTAGGTTATAGGAAATAATTTGTGTGCCATACTTATTTCTATACCCCCATGGTAAATCAAATTAGATAACTAAATTGGATTAAGGAAACACCTTTCTACCAGCTATACTAAGTTGATTAAAGAAGAAAGATGGAGATTGAAATGGAGTGTCTCATTTCTTGCTCTTTTTGTGGTATTTCGATTTCTTACCTAAAATGTTTTATGCACTCTATACAGGTTAAAGAGATAAGAAGATGTTTCCAGCTGGTTGATGGGAAACTTTGTTATGACATTCAGATGGCTACCAATACAATAACCCTTCAACCACACTTGAAAGCAGCACTAAAGAAGCTCTGAAGCAAACATATTCTCCAATTAGGATATGTACATCAGCATTATGAACCCATCCAAAGTGACTCTTTTTTAACAGCAACTTAGGCCATGGCACAGGGTTTTGTATGCAAGGTTCTGTGTATGACATGTTCACACAACTCTTAATTTCAAGAGCTAATGGTTGAAGAACCCGACATGACTTAATTTTATTGGAAGCAGACAAGAAGGAAATATTGTGTTTCTCCTTTTGTAAATCACAATATATGCTTGATTTTAATTTCCTTTTTTTTGTATAAGTGATTTTAATTTATTTGTTTGAAGCTATTGTGGTGCAGTAACTACAAGTAAAATTTGATGTTTGTTATGCTCAAAGTGAAATTGTATTTCCTCTTTACCATCTATTTTTGATGAAACTGCAAAAGGAATTGCTCATTTTGACCCTCAAACATCTCTGTGTTTTTCTAAAGAAGAAAAGATGAGAGGAATTTTAAAATTATCTTGGGTCCCACACAAAAATCTTTGCAAATATAAAGAGAAACACAAAATTTAACACTGCTATTCAAAATAATGTAACATAATTAATTAATTAATTAATTAATTAATTATATATATATATATATATTAAATTACATGCATTTTTTTTACCAAAAACAATTCTATTCAAGGCATGTAAAAGTGTCATGCATTGCATTTTCAAGTATTTAATGCAATTGTATACTCAAGTTTTATATTTGACACTAATAGTTAATATGATACAATTTTGTGTCAATTGATTTATGTATATGATAATGTGTGGGTTGATTTATGTGTGTTTGGCAATTGTTTGGGACATATCTAAAAAAACACAGCCTAATGAACATATAAGTAAAAATAAAAATAAAATAAAAATTAAAATAAACATGCAAACCATATAAAGGGTGAATTTAGATTTTAGATTAACTTCAATCTTTTGATACTTTTTTTTACCGGAAAATCTTACTTTAAGACTTAAGACAAGAATGTCAAGTTTTGCTAGGTTTATAAGTACTTAAAAAATCAAATAGGTAACATAATTTTAATTTACATAAGAACTTTGACTTATTTTATTTCTTTAATTTATTTTACTTTCATCTCCTTCAATTGCTTGTGATAAAGTTGTTGGAAAATGCCATCATTATTTTCCTCTTCCCTTCTCATCTCCTTGTAAACCCAAAATAAACACTACACGAATTTGTAGAATAATAACACCAATATATTATTGAGCATCAAAAACCTTTTCAATGAGTAAAGAAAACTAACAACTACTTAAACTTCCACTATAACAATAATGAGAACACAAAATACAGGAATGTATCTTTTAATTTGTAGACAACTCTTATAAATTGACTCACGATATTTCTCTCAAAGAAACTCTGAGTTTTTTTTTTTTTTTTTTTTTTTTTTTTTTTTTTTTTTTAAATGTGAGGATGTATTTCTTAATTTGCTTCTTGTTGTGTATCCGTTGCACTTCACTTCCTCTGTTTACAGAAGAGTTACACCTTGTTGCAATCTGCTGCACCAAGGTAGACATTAGACAATAATTCACTTAACACATGGTGGAGACACAAAAGAGACTACTCAAATGATTGTTTATCATATTTGAAAATTCTTTTACACATTATATGATGTGGTTTTTTAAAACCCATTATTAACTTCCTTAAATTAACTGAGGCGTTTTTTTTTTTTACCTTCAAATAAAAGCTTTACTTTTATAATTAATAAAGGATAGTACATAAATATTCACCTATTGTCCATCAATCATGCCTTTAACTAAGTGAAAACAAAGAAAAGAAAAAAAAAGATAAATGGCAACTAACATGCCAAATCCTTTCGTTCAAATTTTTATCTCCACCTTTCTTTTTTTATTTGGGGAGGGAGGGAGGGGGATAGACCTGCATTTTGGTTCATTGATGTTCTTGCTTCTGTTTTTATAGGTGGATTGTGTTGTTTTGTCTAGTATTGTTGATTGCTCTCTTTGTTGCTAAATTTTTCTCTAATGTCCAACTCTCCCTACAATATTGTTATGTGCTGATATGATATAGCTAAATTCTTTCCTGCTTTATTTACAATGAATTTTATACTCCATTTATGGGCGCGTGATGAAATGTGTCACTTGGAAATGAATCTATTTTTTCCAATTGAATTTGCATAATTGCATATATAAACAAGCTTATTGAGAAAACCTTTTCAACGGAAATTTAAGTTCCAATGGAGTGGAAAGAAAACCAATTTACTAAATGAAAGTAAATCCGGAACAATGAAATTGCAGCTTAACATATAACAATTACATTTGGCACTTTATTGTCTCAACACTGTACTACCAGAATTCTAGACGATACAAAACACTCTTGACCACTTTATTGGATGACTAAATGACTAATTTATAACAACCTATGCTCATCAATTCCGAGAGTGGTAAAGGGAATTAAGAATCAACAATCACTTCAAACTAGCCATGAAAATACTTGTAGAAGAAGGCATTGACCTAATAATGGATAACTAAGCAGCAATAGTGATACACTGGATTGCCTGTTTGCATATACCAGTCATTGTTGCTTCAGGTCCATAAACCTGTAAAGAGACCAAAAGATAGATCAGAGAAAGTCCCTTAAAAAGATTATAAGCAGTTCAGATGATTTCTTAATACAATCAACAAAGACATCAATTAGTTATATAACCTCAATGGGGATGCCAATTTCCTCTCCAAGTGCCCTCATTTTAGCTAGACCCTTTTGGTAGTTGGGACCTCCTCTCCTCACATAAATGTGCATCTTTGCTTCTTTTAGCTTTTGTTCCTGGTTTGTAACAAGATCAACAATCAATTAACTCTACTATGAGAAAATTAGTATGATATTATAGAGAAAAGGTTCATGAGGATAGGCTCACCTTCTCCTTCAGAGCGCGAATTATGCCGCTGAATGTAGCAGCAACATCGGTAAAGTTAGCTATTCCTCCCCCTATCACAAGGGCTCGCTTTTGGCCATCAGGGTCTGAAGTTGCACACTGCAAGGAGATTATCATAGAGATAAGTATCACTATATCATGTTTCAAAGTAGCATGCATTTGATAAGCTATTTTCACACAACCGAAACAAGGAATGGCTGATCACTTAAAGCAATAATATTTTATCCATAATAAACATGCCAACAATAATGTTTGAGATAAGAACTAATTACATCAATCACAACTCTGGCATACTGCAAGACTTCATCTTCCTTGGGTGCACCACTATACTCTGCATAATTTCCAAGCTCAGGAGCATAACCAAGATCTCCTACCTGTTTTAATAAATTAGTATAAGTCTGTGGCTCAATTGTACAAGATGATAGAGTTTAGCAAGGAATTTAATTTTTAAAGTAATAGAAACACACCGTATCAGCATAGATGACACTAGCACCTCCCCCAGCTACCATTGTCCAAATTCGGCCCTTTGGGTTTAACACCGTGAATTTTAAAGATGCACTTGTCTGGGAACACAAAATAAACAAACATCATAAGCTTTTAAGAAAAAGAATTCATAGCACCATGGTTACGATTAACAGTACTGATAAGAGGTTAGTACAAGGAGTTCAATTGACCCTGAAGATCTGCAGACCATGTGTTAAAAGTTAACAGTACTGGTTAGGAGCAAAATGGATTAAGATATGCAGCTTATGGACAAAGTAATAAATGAAGTGAATCTGACTGTAGATGCAGGAGAAAATTATATCTGTTCACCTTTTCATCTAATCCATGAATGAAAGACTCTGTGGTACTCATAACTCTTCCAAATGGCATTGGAAATTCAATGTTTCCCCATCTGCAAATAATAATAACATGCATGGTTTAAATTTCTTTTGTTTAGTATGATACATTATTCATTTATACATGATGAGTTAGAGTCTAGAGATATGATATTCATCTTTAAAATTTTAAATAACAGTTCATATTCTTTAGAGGGAAGAAACTTACTTCTTGAAGTTCTTGAAAGCAGCAGTGTCATCTAGCTCGCCTCTCATGTCCAGAGGATATGGCTTTCCATTGACCAAAGTGAAAGGATTCATCTCCAAGAAAGTGAAATCCAGATCTAACACGAGGAAAAACACAGGAACAGATAATGTTTAAATTCAAATGCTACCACCAATGAAGTTGTCTTCACAAGAACATCTAATGTTAGGAAATGCAAATTTTGTAATATACCTTGAAATAGAGCGAAAATCACCTTGAGAAATTCCTCAATTTCTACCTTGATCTGTAAGCACCAATGAAGTACTTATAAATAGTTGAAACCAAGTGTCCACCAAAAAAATAGCATGTGATATTCAATCACATGGTCCTACTGATTAACCAAAAAAGTAACAAAGTTGACCATTCAAAAAATAACAAACTAGTAAATTAACATACCTCCAAGGGAAGGGTTGCAACAAGTGGTGCAATGTTCTCCAATGTAAGAGATATGCCTGTCGGAATAAATACAGTCTTGACCTGAAATATGAAAAAAAACACTTTGTTCTTATGGGAATTATGAGAAAAGTATGAGCAGGGTTTACAGCAAGTAATTAATTTGTAAGCTAAAAAAACATATGATTTTTGTTACCTTGTCCCAGTTCTCCTCAATTTCAATTCCTCCACATTCAGAAAAGCTTATACTGTTCCCTAGTCTCTCTGACACAATGTTAAGGTAAAACTCCTCCTTGTGAGGGATAAAAGGTTCAACAATGAAAGTTGTTATAGGCCCTTTGCATCCACTCATCTCAACCTACATCATATAGAAAGATATGAGCAAACATTTAAAGGGTAGACAGGAGGTACAAAGAAAAAAGGATTAAGAAAAGAGGGAAATAATTTAAGGTTTGGAGGGACAGAGAAGAAAACATCACCTCTTTGCCAAGACGCTCTTTGACAAAAGAAGCAACTTCTGCCAAATCCAGATTCAAGGCAACCAAACCACTTTTGCCACGCTTTCCAAATAGCATGTCAGGTTTCACAACCAATTTTGAAGATGAAAGCCAGGGTTCCTTCTCTGCTAGCTCATTGAAATCGGTGCATTCTGTAACCTAAGGAATAAAACACATTTTTATTATTCAAGTTTGATATGCATGCTGCACTGACTGACTAGTAATATACAAATTCGAACTTTTCCATAAATCATTTATACATCACAATCATATAGTCTCACTGCTTAAAACACCGATTAAATTGTCATATTTATACATCATATTCGTTACAAATCCAAAATATAATTTATATATCCAAATATATTATTTATTATAAATTAACTATGATATAACTCATTTAGAGTTTAAAAACTATACACTAACTGCGTAATCCTTTACACTGTCACAGAAATCATATAATATATGGATGACTTTTAACAATAAAATTACTAAATATATAATTTCTAATTGATTGACTGTATAAACTTTATTTATACTATTAGTTCGTATACTATTTACTCTATAATCTATATTCAAAAGTATTCATTTATTAAGAAATTTTGATATAGATCATAGGTATCTTTTACTAAAAACAAACATGTTTGAATTCAGATAGTAACACTATGGATGGCAAAACTCATCCTCTGAAAACAGCATACTCAGGGCTCAAATTCGAAACCACTTATTATGAATCTTAATTATATAAAAGTAACCATGTGATGTACAAAATACAAACTATGAGTGCAATTCTTTGAATGGCAAAACTCTTCTTCCGAAAATTCCTTAATCAGGACTCAAACTCGAAACCACTTATCATGAATCTTAATTATATAAAAGTAAACACGTGATGAACATAATACAAACTAAAACATGATTCAAATTGAACAACAACCCCATGATGAGAATGCTCACTTGTGCAGACTTGATGGGCAAGTCCTGGCCAGAGAGTCTCTTAAAGTGCTCTCTCAACAGCCTCTTGGAGTCATACTCTCTGATCTTCTTGCGTGCCATTGCTTCTCCTCAAACGCGCACCAAAAGCAGAAACCTCTCTCCTTCAACACAAAACAAGACAAACCCAGATCAAATCAGCTTCAGGGGCCTCAGAATTCCAATCAAAATCAGATTTTTAGAGACTCGGCAGCATGATCACGTGAAACAAAGTCAAAACATGAGATATGAAACGGATTGAAATGGGAACTGTAGAGAAAGAAAGAGGAGAGTGCAGTTACCGTTAGAGAGAGAAACGGATCAGAGGAGAAGAAGGTTAGAGATTGGTGGATCCAATGGTGGGTGTGGATTGTGTTAGTGCATTGGTGGTGGGTGGCTTCATGGTATATATAACATAGGCTTTGGAGAAAGTACAAAGGAGGTTAGGTACTTTGGTTGTTGAACATTTTATATAACAGTGACACATTTATTTATTACTATAAATTACTATAAAAACCACTCGTGCATCGCATGGAATGAATGGAGATATAAGAAATTGGAAAGAAAAAAAAAATTCATTTTATGTGTGATTTTTTTAATTAAATTAAAAAATAATGATTAAATTTGATAATAACGATTAATTTTATATAAGTAATGTCTTCACGTCCAGGGATACTTTTACGACCGTGTAAGAGAGTTGCCAGAAATGATTTTAGCCATTTTGAGTTTTAAAAGCACTTCTTGTAATGATTGTGTTAAAGTTTGGTAGAAAGCATTTTACCTGAATATGATTTGTCGTGTCTAAAAAAAAATTTCTCACATGTATTTTTTTCCATATATAATCATGTACATACATAATCAAAGATTAAATTTAGACATTTTTTTATAATAATTTTGAACCTTGATTCATCATACTGAGGGATAGTTGACTCTCAAATTTTTTTGTTTGATATCACTAAATTAAAATAATCAACATTGATAACATTAATCAAATTAATTTCTTAAGATATATTTGTTAAATAAAATTATTCTCCTAAAGTATATTTTTTAAAAATATTTTAAAAAAATCATGTAAAATATTTTATATTAATTTAAAAATAGAATTGATTAAAAAAATTTACAAAAAATAAAAAATATTTTCATGTTTATATAAAGCAAAAATCTTTTTAAATATTTTTTCTCCTAAATTCTTCCATAAAAATATTCAGTATATTATATAGAATTAAAATTATTATTATTATATAATAATAACACATTAATATAGAAAACTGTTAAAATATTATAAGATATTTGATAGAAAAAAATTCGTAATCAATTATCGATATTTTTATATCAATGTTATAATATCACTAATAATAATAAATAAATATTATTACTAATAATATATAACTATTTGTTAATATCTATATATATATATATATATTAATAATTAAAACAAACAAATATATTTTTAATATTTAGTTTTGGTTGTTAATCAATTTACCCAAATATTCATAATCAATTATAAAAAGTAAAATAAAGCAATATAAAAATCCATAATCAATTATCGATTTTGTAAATATCAAAAACATAATATTACTAATAATTATATGTAGGAGAGTTTCTTATCATATGTATGGAAGTTACATATTATGGTTTATATACAATAATATTGATTTTTTTATTGAAGAATTTACATTATTATAAGTAATTAAATTTTTGAAAAAAATATTTAAAAAAATATTATTTTAAAAATTTAACTAATTTAAAATTTTTACAAAAATAAAATCTTTCACTAGCATAAAAAATTCATTTTAACCTTTCATTCCTTTTTTTTGTCAAAAAAAATTCATTCCTTTTATTCTTTTTCTTCTTCTTTTTTTTTCCACACTCCAGTGTCTTATTATATTTTACTTGCTATTTTTTTTTATTTTGCTACTTGACATCTTATATCCCATATTTTATATCTCATTTTCATAAATACAAATATTGTAATGTGTATTTTAACATTTAGGAGTTAAGATTTTTTTTTATAAAGAAGAGTAAGAAAGTGTGTTGAAGAAGAAGAAACACATAGAAATTTGAACTTTTGAACCAACAAAAGACATAAGACGAGAAAATGTTTTGTGGGTGACATTAGTAATACTTATTTGATTATTTTCTTAAAAATTGATCAATAATTACTTTTTCATGTTCTTTCATGGGAATTTTTGTTTATGTATATCAGAAGAGTACTAAATTTATATTGTAAGTGTTAGAAGGTATGTGCGTGATATAACAAGAGATGATTGTATGACATTTAATTATGTACCGAGATTTGACTATTATTATTTTAGTATTTTTTAAAATAATAAAATAAATAAATAAATAAATAAATTTATCCTTTTATGACTTTTTAAATTCAAAAAAAATTAAAAAAAATTAAAAAATATGGATCAGACCAATCCATTATATTGCAAGTAAATAAAACTAAAATATATTAAAATTAACAATGAGATAAATATATATATATATATAGAAGAGGGTTCAAACTGTGAAGTCCCACATCGGTTAGGAAGGAGAACGAAGCAGGGAAGTTGTGTCTGGTGAAATCTACCATCTCCTCTATTCCCGTGTATAGTATGCAATCATTGTGGCTTCCCCAAGCAGTGTGTAATAGAATTGATCAGGCATGCCGTCGTATGCTCTGGGGCCAAGTGTTCTGTGTAGGTTTATTTGTTATGTTTGGCATGCCATTTATACCATTTGGACTTTGGTGTTAACTCCAAAACAGTTCTTTTTATTAAATATCGTTTGGTGTTTCGCTGTTTTCAATTTGTCCTATTGAATTTGCTTGAGTTTGACTATGAATTTCTATGTTTTAGCCGTTATCGTTCTAGTAACGCTTAACCTGTTTCAACCTTTTTGATATTAATATTTTCATTACATCTATTCTTGGACAGAAGTCCCATTTCTTTGTGGCCATTTTCTTTTCAGACTATAAAGGAATATGGCTAATTTATTGTGTCTAAGCAACATGGCTACTGTTCTTTATGTAGTTACCCTGTAGTGATTTGTAATCTAAATGGAGAAATTAATCTTGACAATAAACATATAAGGTTAGGTACACCGGATTATATTGGTTTTGGGGTTTGTTCTTATTCTGCTGTCAATTTTTCAATTAGGACCATATCAAATAGCCCTGTTCTACCATTCCAAGTCCATTTGGAAGTCTTCATCATTTTTTTAGTTATTATTAGAATTTATAAATAGTGAAACTAAATTGGTCCTTGGTTGTTTCTTTGGTAAATGGCTGTCTTTTAGAACTATGGAAAGAAAGAGGCTTATAAAATGTTTAGATGATTTCCTCTTGTTCTGATTTTAGCTTCAAGTTTTTAAGTGATCATAACCTGGTTATAACTTATTCATCTCTAGATGACTTTCAGGTCGTTGAAAACATTACTAGTTGATAATGTAAAACATTACAAGTATTTGCATATCAATTCTCCAGAGTAATATCTTGTTTTTAAACTGCAATTTCCTTCTTCTCATTCTTTTCTTTTTCCTCTTTTACTTTTTGATGGATAGGCAAGGAAGATGCATGGTGCCCCTCAAAAGAAAGGTAATGATAGTCCAAAAGTTTCAGAAGCAAGAGAGGATTCCATATCAACAACATATCAACAACAAAATAAATTCACATCTTTGGAGGTCACAATAAATTTCCGTCCTATTTTTTTCCATGATTTTTTAATTGATTTTGGAAAGGCAGTTGATCCTTACCTGTTGTTTTTCCTCTTTAAATGTAATTCTTTTGTTCAGGATTGTCAAGAGTCTTCTCTTCCAAAGATTAACCCTGATAGTAGGTAAAATATTTTTGTCACTGTAGCATTTCTTTCATTATCTTTTGTTCTTATGGTTATATGATTCTTTAATTAATTTACATGTTTCTTTTGTTGAAATTGTTGTCCTATTGACATAAAATGTACTCCTAGCCTTCTAAGACATTCTTTAGAAGTATACCATTCCTTTTAGAATGGTTTTAATTCTAAGGCTTTAAACCAAAAGCTTGTAGTGTTATTGATTTTGTGCATGATGGGAGCTGGGAGAGAACATTTCCTTGTTGGTACTGTCATAATGATACCGTATGGTTGTTTGAAGGAGTTGCTCTCTTCATTCTACATCTTCTTGGTATCCTTGTTTTTTCATTATTCTTGTATTACCTAATTTTATTTCATCAGTTGGGGAAATATGGTTGGAAAACACGTTTTATCTGTGGCAAAAGCATCCAAAAGGTGGTCTGGTTCTTTGGGGTTATAAAAGACACAAGACTATAACAAACTTATTTTGAATAACTGATGCAATTTTTTAATTTCTTCACAATGTTGAAGCTTTTAAACCTCTTAATGGCTACACGACTCAAATTTTTAAAATATTTTTCCATTGTTATATTGCTCCCTTATATTTTGATTTTTTATATTCAAAAGACACTTGAAACTTGGAAGTGATTATGGCTAAGTTCTGCTAATTATTGATCAGGTGTGCCATCATTACAATCCTTTACAGTGAGGATCATGGAATCTGGAAAGCTTTTGACGTACCAGTGCAGATTTCCCATCACATTAACTTAGCTTCTGCTGTAACTATGGATGGTCTGCAACTTCTAATCCCTCCAACGATTAATAGGTTGAAGATTGATCAATGTAAAGGGCCTAGAGTGCCTCTTCCTCCCTATGCTTATTCAGCAAAATCATGTACAAAGAAAGGCTTTACTGGTTCAAATGTGCACCGTCGATGCCAAAACAAGATTGCTAACAGAGCTTCTAAACTGAATGAACACCCTGACAATTCTTGTTCTCAAAGTTCAATAGTCTGTGGCCCTGCCTTGTTCCCTGGTAATTCTACTACAGTTAATTCATCTGATAAGGGCACAAGTCATTCCAAGGAAGATGACAAATCTTTAAAGAAAAACTCAAGAAAAAGGGTTAGAAAGAAAGATAGACGGAGTAAGAAGAAGTCAAGTGACAGTGGCATTACTGAACATGAAGTTCTTAATGAGGAATATGTCTCTGTAAGTATGACTTCTGAAACCTGTAGCAGCAATGATGTGGATAAGGAGTGTGTGGCTGAATTTTCAACTTCTGATAATATATTAATAAGATCTGATTGTAAAAGGAATGAAATGAACAGCAACATCAATGTTATGCAGGCACCTAATAGTTGCAACTCTTGTGTTGATCAGGAGGGGATGTCAAAAGCCTTTGCTCCTATTGTTCAAAGTTCCGCTGGAGAATGTGCCACATTTGAATCCAAGAACCAGCTCCAAGATAGGGGCACTGATTTTGCAGTCATTGATAGAGAAATAAAGGACATCCAACATGTTGAGCCATGCTGTTTTAATGATATACAAGACTCTTTGGTGCTGGATTCAGTTTCAGTTGGTTCCAGAAGTGATGAAAGTATCAATGCTGTTGGTATAGGAAAACAGTCCAACAAGGCAAATTGCACAAACACTTCAGATTCGGGAGATGGATATTTTCTTGGTCCAAACTTAACGAATGGTATTCACAAAAACTGTGAACATGCTGAGGGGATTAAGCATGGTGGTCAAAATTGCATCAGTAATGATAAAAGAGTCAAGCAGAAGAGAACAATGTCAAAGAGTTCAAGCTTAAACAAATTTGGGGGCATTGGAGTTTTGCATGGTCGAAAAGGAAAGGAAAACAGTCATTCCGTGTGGCAAAAGGTTCAGAAGAACAGTTCTGATGAATGTAGTGGTGATTTGAAGAAAGTGAACACTACTTTGTCACAAATTGATTCTACTGTGGAAAAGGATCCTTCAGTTATCAAAGATTGTAGTTCTGTTGGTGTAAATGGTGTATCAAAAACTGAGGATAAGAAACACTTGAAAAATAAAATTGGTAGGAAATCAAAAGGTAAAATGGATTCAGTTTCAAAAAAGGGACAAGGCAATTATTCTAAGAAAAATTTCCATTTTAACAAGTCTTTGCCAAATGATCATGGGAAGGTTAGTGTTCAAAAGATTGATATGTTGAATATCTCATCTGATGAAATTGATCAACAAGGATTGAACATTGTCTCTGGATTTAATTCTGATATTAATTGCCTGATGGATGGGGTTCAGACCAATGGATTTGAACAGGTAACATCTGAAATAGTTCAAAGCACACAAATCTGTCTGGAGGAGTCAGATCCACAAAAGGGTGCCTGTCATACAATTGTAAACACAAACAGTGAAAATGTAGACATTGAAGATAGCTCATTGGTAATGCCAGGTGAGAACTTCAATCAATCAAATATGTCCGAGCAGCTGTCTCCAGTGTCTTGTAATCTTGAAGGTGATGAGGTTGGTCAAACAGAGAAAGAAGTTTCTTCTGCAGACTACTATGCACAAAACCACAGTTCTGGACCTACCCTATGGAAATGGATACCAGTCAGCAAAAAGGATACAGGGTTGGAAAAATCTGAATCTAATAGTTCACCACCAGAATATTCTGATACATCCTCTAGTAACAATTTCAACTCTGAAAGCAGCGCTGAACCGGAAGTAGCCTCTTCTGAAAATCTGGATTCTTCACTAAATGCAAGCAGAACATGCTCCGGCCAGATTTACAACAAAGTGTCTTGTCCAGATGAGAAGAAACATAAAATGGGTAGTCAGGTTGCATGTGCATTCACAGAGCACAGGAACAAGCATAAAGTTGCTAATCACATTCTTTTTGAATGTGAAAATCCAGAGATGTTAGAAAATGATTCTTACAGAATAGCTCAAGCCGTGAATGATGCTTGCATGGCACAACTAGCTTGTGAGACTGTACACATGGCTACTGGTGGTCCAGTTGCAGAGTTTGAAAGACTACTTTATTTTTGTAGTCCTGTTATTTGTAAATCACTCAATTCACTTGGTTGCTCATCCTGCTCATGCAACCATGCTAGTGGTGTCTCACTGTGTAGACATGAGATCCCTAACCTATCTTTGGGATGCCTCTGGCAGTGGTATGAAAAACATGGGAGCTATGGGTTAGAGATTAGGGCTCAGGATCTTGAAAATCCAAAAAGAGAAGGAAGTGTTGGTGATTTCCCATTTCGTGCCTACTTTGTCCCTTCTTTATCAGCAGTTCAGCTGTTTAAGAACCGTGAAAACCAATGCATAAACAGCAGTGACAAGCTTCCAAATTGTGAGGATTCAGAGGCATGTGAAATGGTTGACATTTCAGAAAACTCATCTACTGCCAGTCAACATTCTATATTTTCTGTTCTCTTTCCTCAACCTCGCAATCAGGAGGCATGCATTCAACCACCAAAGGAGACAGCTTCTATCAATAATGTATCTATTCCGTCTATCAACTCAACATGCTCTGGTGATGTAGAACTTCTTTTTGAATATTTTGAACTTGAGCAGCCTCAACAAAGACAACCTCTGTATAAAACCAATAACTTTACAAGAACCTACAGAGGTTGTCTTTGTTGAGGCTGCTCAAGTTCAAAATATTCAAAAAGAAGTTCTACATCACCAGAGCATGTTGAGTTGATAGAGGGAATAGATACATTATTGATAGAAGTTGTCTCCTTTGGTGGTTGAATGCTTGCCTCCTAATTGCGAGGTTGAGGAAAGAGAACATAAAATATAGAATGTTGAATGGAAGTAGATGAGTTTTCTGAAATGTCAACCATTTCACATGCATCTGAATCCTCACAATTTGGAAGTTTGTTACTGCTGTTTATGCATTGGTTTTCACGATTCTTAAGCAATTGAACTACTGATAAAGAAGGGACAAAGTAGGCACGAAATGGGAAATCACCAACACTTCCTTGTCTTTTTGTATTTTCAAGATCCTGAGCCCTAATCTCTAACCCATAGCTCCCATGTTTTTCATACCACTGCGATAGGCATCCCAAAGATAGGTTAGGGATCTCATGTCTACACAGTGAGACACCACCAGCATGGTTGCATGAGCAGGATGAGCAACCAAGTGAATTGAGTGATTTACAAATAACAGGACTACAAAAATAAAGTAGTCTTTCAAACTCTGCAACTGGACTACCAGTAGCCATGTGTACCGTCTCACAAGCTAGTTGTGCCATGCAAGCATCATTCACGGCTTGAGCTATTCTGTAAGAATCATTTTCTAACATCTCTAGATTTTCACATTCAAAAAGAATGTGATTAGCAACTTTATGCTTGTTCCTGTACTCTGTGAATGCACATGCAACCTGACTACCCATTTTGATGTTTCTCCTCATCTAGACAAGACACTTTGTTGTAAATCTGGCCTAACCATAGTTATTTTACGGTGAGAAAATTTGAAGAATCAATATTCAATACTGTCGCCTAGACAAGAAAAACTCATAATCAGGATGTCTGTTTGTACAGGTTAGTTTCCCCTTGTTGACAACAACCCTTGTCATGAGAGATGTTATTTCCTCAAGTGTCCTCAAACGCTTTTTAAGAAGTAAAGAAGGGTCTAAGCCCACCATTTTTTATGTCTGTGCAGAAGGCTTCATCTGGAACCAACATTCTCCCTGGGCATTGTAACTCTGAAGACCCACAACTGGAGATACTATGCAAGAACCTAGTATAGAGAAATCTGAACTAGTTCTTCTAGGAACTAAATGCCCAAGGGAATGGTAAGTCAAAAAAGATGCACAAAAGTTGCCATCTGGTATGCGATAAATAGGATACCATGCAACTGAGAACCAAGACCTAGGGTGAAGATCTCTCAGATTTAATGAATCTAGTTTGGTTGGATCCCCATGGATAGAGCCTCTTAATAATTGAAACTAGTATTCAAGTTTGTAATGATTTCAAACTTCAGAATAAGCTTAGAAAAGAAAGTACCACCAATAGGAAAGAGATAGGTAACTTTTGCCAATAGTATGGAGTAGAATCTATTAAAGCACCAAATGTCCAGTATAAAAAACAGAATAAGAAAATAGTAACTTTTCAAAAGAATCAATACAAGCCTTATAAAAAATTTAATAGACACAACAAAAAGAAAGATGAGCAACAAGGAGAATCAAAAAAGCAACAAAATACAACAAACTTTTTTACTATAAAAATCTTCAAAAATATAATCTATTTCATTTTGAAAATAATTTAAGAAAAAGTTACATATTTTTATTTAAATTAACAGCAAGTATAAAAAATATTTCTCTTTAATTATAGTGAATATATGAAGACTAAAAATTTCTACCTTTTTAAATTATCTTTAAACCTTTTTATTTTATATGATTGTCTTTAAACTTTCTAAAGATTTATTTTTAAAAATTTAATTATTAATCAAGACATTCATTTTGTTTTTGAAAAAATTTACACAATTTTATATCTAAATTTACATTAAATAGAATAAATATTTTTCCTTAATTATAATTAATATATAATGTTGCAAATTTTTTACATTATCTTAAAAAAATTTAAAGGATCAATTTCTAAAAATTTAATTAATAATTAAGATGAATGTAAAAAAAATAATATTATTTCTTGGCCACATAAAATAATTATATTTAAGATTATACCGATTGAATGATACTTATATTAATATTTATTTTTAAAATTATATAATATAATATTAATAAACATATATAGAAATACAATGATACCACACTAACACTATCTAAGTATTATTCTTTTTTTAAGTTAATGTACTAGCTAATGCTATAATCAATTTTGAGGGAAGATATGAAATGTTTAACTAACAAATTAAATGGGAAAAATATATTAAAAAAAATTACAATAAAATAAAATAAGTATTGAATTAATTGCATTAGTTTTATTTTAAAAAAAAATGCATAATTATTGTATTGTTTAATAAAAAGTGATGAGGTTATTTTGTATTGATGAAATAAAATTAACTTTTAAATTATAATATAAAGAAATTAAAATATCATTTTAACCTTAATTTTTTAGACATATACAATATAAATATCTCAACTTATATGACAACTATCATGAAAAAAAAAAGTTAGATATTATATTACAGAAATTATCAAAATAATGATAATTATCTGGTTATTATAATAAAAGAGACTTAAAAAAACATTACTCATGTAATTAAATTTAATGAACCTAATTATAATTATTGATGATTAAGTGGCTCATATAGTCGCATTAATGTTATTTATTAGATAATTTGATAAATAAACATTAGTAACTTTGATAATTTTTATAATAAGTAAATATTTGTGTATCATTAATTAGATTCAAACGCTATACACAGTAGAAATTCTTTAAATTAATAATGTCAGGACTAGAGAAATTTATTAATTTAGAGAGTTATTAATTTATAGATAAATTAATAATTATTAATTTAAAGAGTTTTTAAGTAATTATATTGTACATACCAAATAAAAAGACAAATTACTCTATGCCTCTTAGAATTACGTTGTAGCGAACTTTGAGACTCAACGTAAATTAGTAACTTTTGAAGTACATATGCATTGAAAATCAATACGTAATGACTTTTGAAGTACATATGCATTGAAAATTAATAATATGACTTTTGAAGTACAGTAAATGTAAACAAGAGGAACAAATGTGTTCAATGTATTCTTAAGCAAGTTTGGCATATATAAATTACATGAATGTGTTAGAGTATTCAAACCATATCTCACAAGATGGCTTCTCATCTAAAAGGTGTTGCAAATAAGAAAAGTTAGAGATGAGCTCCAAATAGACTTGAACTTTAAAGGAAAACAGACAACTATTGAATCATATTTCAATAGAGTGTAATATATTTTTTTCAGTTTCTATGAATTATTAATTTATGATTTTCTTGGGACCGAAAATTATAAAGGGATCTCCCGAAAAATTATTATCTTATTATTTTATCGAGTTTTTCAATTTTTTACATTGGCTCAAGTCGGGACCGGACAAATTTATTATTTTAGAGAGTTTATTAATTTACCGAGTATTAATTCAAAGAGTTTCTACTGTAATAGTCATCGGATGTAATCAAAATTAATGTACCTACTCACATTTAATGACGAATTTTAGTAATATTTATTATACAAATTTAATAATTTAAAACTAAAGATATATATTTCTAAACCCAAAAAGTCATTGAAAACATTAGATATATAATTACTTTAATATATTATATTTATATATGTGCTCAAATTTATTTATTTATGTTATTAAAATATATTTAATGAAGAATAATAATTAAAAGAAATAATTTTATAAATATGTAGTTAATTGAAAACTATTCATAATATTGTATTTTAATTAATAACCAGTGATAGAAATTTAAAAATAAGTTATTATTATTATTAATATATATATATATATATATATAAGTATATTTTTTGTGATATTCTCTACTGATACATATTACAACATAATATGATATAAAAACTAAATAACTTTGATACAATAATGAACTCAAAGTCATATAAGTAGAGAGGTATCACATTTTAACATAAACTAAATTAAGCAAAAATAACAAATTACAAGAGAAATAAAATCAATTACTCAATATAACTAACATAAGCCAAATTCTTACTAATCATAATCTAAGTTCCGATGTCATATGTCCTATTAGAACATTCTCAAAACAAGAATTATGCCTCATCACTGACGTCATCAAGATCTTGATGAACATACATGACCTACAATAACATACATATAGACAAGATATGGAACACAAGGGAGTGAGAAAATTTCTCACTCTAATTGATGGCATGAAATAAGAAACATATAGTCAAACACACTCCATACATTATTTATACAATAAAATGATAATAACAATCAACTATCATCATCATTCATTTATCACTACAAACACATGTACTTGTTAACCAGGCATGAATCATAAGTAATTGAAGCACATGCAAATATGGAATGCAATGGACACGAACCGTTAATTTGCATGCATATAATATCAATATCAAGATATGTGTAGTGCATATTAAACAATTTGTCAATTTATCGATTTGTGTGTATATGATGTATGTCACACAAACTCTTTCATATTATGAATTCAATTTATACACATGCTCAACAGTTTGTCATCTAATGATTTGTCACACATACGATTTTTCATGCTCACAATTGTTATTAATCATACATACATGTTACCACATACACAATATTCTAACAAGAATCAAGTATCTCACTCAAACAATTTACCAAGCATACATGTTCGTTTCACACTCATCGACATTCAAATTACTCCTTACATCTCTTAGTTCTCACAAAGGAAACAAATTTTATATACAATCGATGCACGATGGAAGTCTATTCACGCCCGGGGCAACCCACCTAGAGAGCACTCATAGCTCTCAAGATGACTCACGTCCAATGTGACTTGTATCACGCCCAGCGAGATAGCAACATGGACTCCCTTGGAGCGCCCATGCCCGACGAGCCTCATCCCATGCCCAATGTGAGTATCATAAAGACTCGCAGTCCTGATAACGTCCAATGAAGCATGCCCCACACTAAACACAAACAAAACAAGGAGTGAACCCTGC